ATTTTCACGCAAATTCTTCTGCTAGTTGGGGTTTAGTCCACTTCTATATCCTTCCCTTCAAGGCTCAGGGGTCCAAGATTATCTTCTGTGTCTGTTAATTGATTTCCCTTTTCTTTGTTGGAGAGGGTCTGTGCAGTCTTTCTGCCTAGTCCGCCATCTTGCTGGAACCAGATTTATTCTTAATATTCTTACAATGTTTATTTTTTTGTTTCTTCTACTAGACTGTAAATTGTTTGAGAGCAAGAACTGTATTTCTAAGCATTTAGGTCATCCTTAGAGAGGGTTACAACTTTATCTAGATCATAATTAGCAATTTAACAATAGCTGCATTTGTCATTTGTGAGTCAGTAACATTAATCTGGTGGCGTAGTGCCTAAGGCATTTGACTGCTAACCAGAAGGTTGGCGGTTCAGACCCACCAACCACTCCAGGGAAGGAAGATTGGGCGATGTACTTCCATAAATGTTTACCGCCTCAGAAACCCAAAGGGGGTTGCTATGAGTCGGAATCAATTTAATGGCAGTGAGTTTGGTCTTTTGGTTTTTAACATTAACATTTATTGTGGAATCACCCCATACTGTTTACTTCAGAAGATGGCAAAGAAAATGATACTTCTTGACATTGTAGAATTTATATTGGAAAGTTGTCGTGTCGTTGTCATGTGCCATCGAGTCGGACATGACTCGAAGTATACATAATTTAATGGGACTTAACATAGTTTATTTTGGAACCTTGTAAAACTGATTCATTGCTAGTTTTAACCCCTGCTAAGTCTTTATGTTGGCTTCTAAAGCATTTTCCTGGACAGAGGAAAGGCAAATCCATCATGTTGAAGACATTATGAACTTGGAAGATCATAACATCCAAAGATAAACATATCCACAAGTTACTGATTAGAAGATCTTAAAATGACAGACCTTGCATTTCCACTTTAAAGTTGTCCATTATAAACAATCTCCAATAGAATTTTCGAATGATACCAAAATGACAATCTAATTTAATCAAGAAATTATAGAATCAGTGGTTCATGGCAGTCATTTTACTGTCAGCCCATTAAGTACTTGCATAGTATGCCTCAGGCTCCTCACAAGATTTTAAATTGTCACTGTGAGACAAGATCGTATTTACTACCCTTTTCTAGAACTGACATCCTATTGTGCTATCACTTATGTAAGTAGGGAGGAATCTCACCTTTGTTCTGTATATAATAGATCCATTAATAGATCATAAGATCTTGTGTTATATATTACACCTGTAAATCTTAGTGAGCTTGTTAACAAGGACACTTAACATCTTTCACATGTACTACTGTGAATCAGGGTTCTGTGTTTTATATTTGCTCTAAAAATTTTTCTTTACCACCAAATCCCATTTTTCCTTTTCCTAAGGTAAGTATGGGAGTTCTCGTAGCATAGTGGCTAAGACACTTGCCCACTAACCAGACGGCTGGCGGTTCAAACCCACCAGCCACTCCTCGGAAGGAAGGTTGGGCAATCCTACTTCCGTAGTGATACTGCCTC